AAGGTAAAATAATTATTATCTTTTAATATTTTCTCTTAGTTTGTACTTGTATTTAGGTTTAGGTATGCTTAGCGTTCACCGAGGTATTGTATAAGAATCAAAAATTAAATCATCACTAAAACAAGTTATCGATTTGCAGAAGATACTCGAAGACTAACAAATAATTTTTTAGCAAAAAAAACCGACTTCAAGTCACATGTAAAACATTAAGATTACCGTTAGTTTCTTCATGATTCAATAACCGGATCTAAACTAAATTACAATGGGACCACCTTTCCTTAAAAAAGAATTATCGAAATCGGTTATGCGGTAACATATGTATGTTCATAAAAAAAATATTCCGATGAATAGATAACCTCCTCCTTATTTTGAAGTCGGTAAAAAATAATGAGAAAATTACGATTTTTGTGTAAAGACGAAGTCGCATTTTAAAATTTTCGTGCAATTAAGGTAACTAACATATTTTTGTTTTAACAAAATAAAAAGTACAAAAGAATTACATACAATGAGTCGTATGCATACAAACTAAACAATTGCGTTTTCTTAAAATTGCTTAGGTTTTATACATACAACGCAATAAGTATGACCCCACATTTAAAAACCAAATAAGAAAAGTGGCTTTGCAATTGTTAACGTCAATTTAAAATTACAATTTAAAGCACAACTGCTTTTAAATAGTTGAACTCCACCGGTTTGAAGTTTTTAAAGATTTTGATCCAGCTTTAAAGAAGGGGTCTTCACGCCGAACTGTTAATAAACAAAGTTTACCAGACTAACAAGAGAAAACTGAAAAGGACGTTCACAGTTGTTACAATCACCGAGTGTCAACCACCAATTTACCAAAACTACCAAAATGGATGTGAAGACCCTTGGTGTCACATTAGTATTTACTAATTGATAGATAATTTTGACTGAACAAATTCCCTCTCCTACTTTTCTGTCTCTTTCAAATCAGTGTCAGCAGTGCAAATTAACTATTTCATTACAATTCTAGCACAAATTTAATATAACTAAAAGCACGGTTGTAGAACAAAACTAGATAAATGCATGGTTGTATTTTGGATTCAACAAATTTTTTACATATATACATATGTAATTTAGTGGAAAAAAATAAAATAAAAAATCGTCATTACGGGGGAAAAATCGTCAAATCGGCATTGAGCTAAAAATCGTCAAAATGACGACGAAATCGTTAATTCGGCAACACTGGTTTTAAACCCTACAATAAGTTCATAATAAAGTTTATGCAATATAAATTCCTTTGTACGGCTCGGTACAACTCAATTGTTACAATAACAAGTAATTTTTAAGCAAAAAACACAACCGACTTCAATTCTTATATAAAGATTTAGAAGCACCGTTAATTTCTTCATGATCCAATGATCGGATCTAAACCAAATTAGGATGGTGACTTCCCCTGAGGCACCAGAAAAATAATTATAGAAATCGGTTAATGTGGTCCAAAGATATGCGGTAATATACATAAAAAAATATTCCCATGAATTGATAACTTCCTCCTTTTTTGAAGTCGATTACAAATAGAAAAATTAATGAGGTAATTTAATTTAAATTTTTAATAGCAATATTTTGACACTTCTAATAAAATATCCATAAAAAATCCAAACCCACGATTTGTCATTTTGTTTGCCAAATATACGTTTTCTAAGTGCACTTGCACAACATTCGCATTTGCAATAATCAATGGTTAAATTAATGCGGAAGCTCCGCGGTTACGAATGCGAATGCGAATATTCGCAACAACCCTGGTAACAAAACAAAAACGACTTAGAAAGGATACGCACTGGCATTTACGAAAAATCTTAGCAACCCGATGTTTTAAATTTCAAGAAATCTATTGAAAATATCTCAAAATTTAGGATTTTCGTACTACTGTAAGATGTACATACATATACTGTGCTTCAAAATTAAGTTAATTGTATCAAGTAAGAAAGTCTAAGTTCGGGCGGAGCCGAACATTAAATACCCGGCGCAAGTATTAAATATATGTTTTCCACCTTTTCAAAAGCTACCGCTACATAATAAGCCGGGGTGTATACATTTTAAGTAAATTAGCGTCCTTAAATTTCGAAATATTAAAATTTCAAGCATTTCTGAAATTTACCGTTATATGAAAAGCGGCCGTAATTTTAGACCAATAATTTTCAACGGTTTGCTTTTATGTGGCAGCACAATAACCATACCGAGTTTGGTACAAATTGCTAGAACGGTTAGCGAGATTCCAAAATTTTATCATAAACGTATTTTTTGGTAAAGAATTGTTGCAACCATCAATTTTGAATAAATTAGCTTTAATATTTACTGATTTATCGAAGATTTTGTATTTCTCGAAATTACCGTTATATGGGATGTGGGCGTGGTTATTGTCCGCTTTTAAAAATTTTCGGCCATTTGGTATGCTGTACCAGGACCAACAACTGTGCCAAGTTTGGAAGAAATTGGTGCAGCGGTTACCAAGATATAAACATGTAAACATATGTGGGCGTGGCTACGCCCATTTGCTAAAATTTTGCAATATTCTTATTTTTCGTCTAAAACTCATTGTAAATATCAATTTTGAGTAAATTATCTTCAGTAGTGTTATAAAGGCGTAAGGATGCGAGTTATCATGTATTTTAACAATGATTATTTATTAAATTATAGTATAGATATTAAATGCAAATTCACATTAATTAGAAATAGAACTGAACAGGTCAACCGTCGTGCGCTTGCACGTCCGAACTCTTTCGCTGTTAACACGCAACTTCCCTGTCTTTGACAGCTCGGCCTTTCCTGACATTTCGTCCGCTAGGACGTTTCCTCATCTGGAACGACTCTTGAATTATCTTCGTCATATTCGAGATCTGGAATCAAAAGGCACCATGGCTTCATATGGTCGCTGGAGACTATGTTGCAATAATGACGTTGCGTACGGGGTGCATCTGGTAAGTCTTCCACAACATATCGGTCATGGGCTAACTGTTTGGTGACGAGATAAGGTCCCCTGTATTTCGGGTCGAGCTTGTGAGTGTCACCCGATGCGCTTGGGATGTAATCAGTAACTACAAGTTGACCTTCGTTGTATAGTGTTGGGCGCTGATGAGCTCGATCATACCTCAGCTTCCATTTTTGTCTCTCGGTGTCGATATTCTCTAGGGCTTTTCGTTGATTTTCCTGGTTGTCTATGTCTTCTGGCGTTGTTATTTCGTCGTTTATTGCTTGGACTAATCGATTCTCGCTAACGCATCGTAAATCGAAATTAAACACAAGTTCGTTGGGGCTGATCTTCGTGGTGCTGTTGTTTTGCGAATTCATGCACCACTGAATGTTAAAAAGATTTGTGTCCCATTCCTTGGCGTCGTTCGTTGAGCATCGGATAGCTGACAATATAGTACGGTTGACGCGTTCGGCTTGGCCGTTTGCTCGCGGTGTTCGCACCGCCGTTTTCACGTGCTGAATCCCGAAACGAGACATAAAGGTTTCGAATTCCTTTGACGTGAAGGCAGTCCCGCGGTCAGTAGTTATTCGTAAAGGCTGACCGAAAATTGACATAACTTCTTGTAGCATCAGTAGTACTGGAGTCGTTTTGGTGTTACGTACCGCTTTCAATATGGTATACTTGGTGAAACCACAAACCAAAACGATTATATGCTGATTTCCTCGCTTGCTCTTCGTAAATGGTCCGAGATGATCCATGTACATTGCTCGAAATGGAATCGGTAGAACTTCGGTGAGATGCATCTGGCTTTCCAACTTACCCCCTTTTATCTTATTCAAGCAGCACTCGGGGCAAGCTGCAATATACGACTTCACATATCGTCTCATTTGCCTAAACCAAAAGTACTTTTGTAGTCGTTGTAGCGTTTTTTCGAGGCCAAAGTGACCTGCGTCATCATGACAAGACTTGGTCACGCGCCATCTAACTGCTTGAGGGATAACAAGTCGTCGCTCACCTTGAACCATTCGATATAATCGGCTGTTGTGAATGATGAAATCACCTTTGAACTGAGTCGCTCTTCCATCGTTGGTCTTTAGCGCTGACGTAATCGTTTTCAAATGTTCATCCTGCATCTGCATTGAGTGAATCCAGTCGTCGCTGTTGTTATTAGATATAGCCAGAATTCGGTCAGCTGCGGTTTCCGGTTCGGTTGGTGGTAGACTCGGGGAACGGCTTAAACAATCGGCATGCTGCATCTTCGAGCCTTGACGGTGCTTACATTCAAATTCGTATTCTTGTAAGCGTAACCACCATCTAGCTATTCTCGGCGGTAATTTTGATGTTGCTTTCGTCGTAACAATCGCGTTACAGTCCGTAACGACAGTGAATCTCGTGCCTAACAAATACATCCGAAATCTGTCAAGCGTTTCCACTATAGCTAGCACCTCCAGTTCGTGACTAGCATAGCGTGACTCTGCATCATTACATTGACGACTATAGAACGAAATTGGCTTTAGTCCGTCTGCTTCTTCCTGCAGCAATATACCTGACAACCCTATGTGGCTGGCATCCGTATGGACTTCGTGTGCTTTAGTTGGATCATACAGGACTAGTACTGGCTTAGACGTAATTGCTTTCTTCAACTGTTCGAACGCGCATTCTTGTTCTTCTGACCAAATAAACGTTACATTCTTCTTCAAAAGCTTGGTGAGTGGTGCGGCAAACGTACTATGCTTTTCCACAAACTTTCTAAAGAACCCGGTCAATCCCAGAAATTGACGTACCTCAGCCACATTCGATGGTTTGGGAAATTCGCGAATGCATTTAGTCTTTTCATCCCCCGGACTTATGCCACTGTCACATACGTTGTGTCCTAGAAATTTTACATTTCCCCAGAGAAAATTGCATTTAGACGGTCTAAGCGTGAGACCACATTGACGAATCGCCTCTAAGACTTCTTGTAGAACATTCTTGCCATCACTCACAGTTGGCGTTGCTATGATCATTTCATCTACATAGCTGATGACTTGGTCTCGATGGCATAATCTTGATGTTACCTTTGTTATCATTTCCTGGAAAAACATTGGTGCATTGACCAGACCAAACGGCATGACATTGTATTCGAACAGTCCATCTGCGTGAGGAATGCAGTGTATTCCTTGCTACTTTCTTTCATTGGAATCTGGTAGTAGCCCGATGTCATGTCGAGTGTTGTATAAAACTTGCCACCAGCCAGTTTAAATAGTTGCTCTTCTACAACTGGCATTGGGAAATTCTTCCGTACAGTAACCGCGTTCAATGCCCTGTAGTCGATGCACATTCGATTTTCACCATTAGCTTTGCGTACCAAAAGTGCCGATGCCGCGTGAGGTGATGTACTAGGACGTATTATTTCATTTGCCAATAAATTGTTTAGAATTCCCGTTAGCTCTCTTTCTTGTGATAGTGGAACCTGATAGCGTTTTCCGACTATTGGCCCCGGTATTGTAACTTTAATTTCCATCGTGGTAGTATTACATCTACCCAGCGTTGACACATCTTCAGCAAAACAATTTTGGTATTCGTGTAAAAGCGTTTGTATATCAGTTCGTTGGGCATCGTTGAGCTGATCGTTGATTTTAAACGTGTCCGACTTAACTTGTAATTGTAGCGATCCATTGTCGATGACCAAACGTTTATTTTGGCCACACAGTACATCTCGCCCTAACAATAAGTCATAGCCAAGTGCGTGGTCTGGAACCACATATAAGTTTGCGTTGACATATTCGTTGTTTATCTGCAACTTCACTTCGGCCCTTCGCGTTGACTCGACAATCGATCCGCCAAACCCTTTAAAACGTTTGTATGCCGGAGCGCATTGAATCGTAGTTGGTATTACAGCTTCGCTTATTAATGAATGGTCGCTGCCCGTGTCGACCAAGGCGTCGTACAATTTACCCTCAATAGTAACGTGTTGAATTATAGGTGGAACTTGTGAAGTTGATTTAGACTCCCCGATTTCTGCTACATTTGGTTTCATATTGGCGCGACAATCCTTTGCGTCGTGGCCCACTTTCGTGCATTTAGTGCAGCGTTGCTTCTTTTGTGGATGCGGACATTTAACGGCGACATGTCCGTATTCGTTACAGTTAAAACATTTTAACGATCTTGGAGGTTGCCCTCCACTTGATGTATATGCGTTTGTCTTAACTGTTGTTGTTGCATTTTGCTGTGTAGTAGTGGGTGATTGAATTGTCTGCAGATTTTCCAATGAGTGCAGCAGTTCGTTGCTGGTGATCAGGTTCATTGCTAGTAGCGTACGTGTCGTCTGCATATCGTTTATACCGTTGATGGTATAAAAGTTAATGGACGCATCGTCCAATTTGCCACGTCTTCCGAGCGTCATCATCGCATAATAATACTCTATAAACGTCTCGGTTGGTTTCCGTTTGCGTCGGCCAAGTTCCCTGTGAATTTCCGCAGAGTTTACTATACACGGAAAATCTTTCAGCAGCATACTCACAAAATCCGTCCAAGACTGGAACACTGGTTGCGCATCAAGCCAATTCTTCGCTATACCTACAAGTTTTTGCTGCGCCGCAAAAAGTAGCAAATTGTCGTTCCACAGGTATGTTCGTTGTAGTTGCTCAGCTTTAGTAACAAATTGTTGCGCTGTAACTAGCTTCTTCAATGGGTCGAACTCTGGTAATATTCCCACGATGTCTTGAATTTTGTACGTTGATGCTTGTTGTGTTGTTGAACGTGAGCTGGATTCCTGTGTTGTCTCAACGCGTTGTGGCATACTAGCTGGTTCCGCTGTTGCTCGTTCTGCACTTAACATTTGCATTGACCTTGCTAATTCAGTGATCATATCTTTTAATTCATTGATGGGTCTTTCCCATGGGTCCTCTTGCTCGACCTCGCTGGCGTCAATTTCATCAGAGCCAAGAGCCTCCATTAGTGTTGCAACTTTGTGCGCTTTGTTTCCAGTTGCCAACATATTCGCGTTTCGCAATAGTTTATTTAATTGCGAAACGTTTAAAGAATCTATCTTTATTCGCATATTAATAGTTAATTTTACAAGCTGTTGCTTAAACAATCCAAATATGCTTTCCGTAGCCGTTGCTTGCCAAACAAAAACTGTCCCTGTTCTTCGATATGCTGTTGACCATACCCTTTTGCTCACCAATGCTGTTTTTCCATTGAAACCGTGCAACAACAAAAACAAAAATTATTCGTCGTAGCCTACTGCGCTTTTTATCGTTTAGCACAGCAAGTCTAAAAATTCTCCGTAATCTCTGTTGACAGTGCTAATATTCCTCTGAACTGCAAGCACTTGATCGCTGCGCAGTCACCGCTTACGTTGATCTGACGATTTATGCTATTCAGTAGTATGAACGTGTGTATATTCGCAGCACCGTCCTTGCTGCGTTTACACCCGTGACGTTGAGTGCCGTTTTCATGTATCTACATGCGTCGTTGTCGCTGCTGTTTCGGCATAAACTCATTCCGTTGAACGGCTATGCCGCCCCTTTGGCTACAACAATAACGTTGTTGTTTTGCTACAACTGACTAGCCGTTGACAGTATAGTTTCAGAATATTTTCCGTTGAACAGAGCACGTTTCTCCTTTTCGTTGACGCGTTTGTTTCGTTGAACAGCAAAGTTGCTCTGCTTTCGTAAGGGGAAAGTTTCGTTTGCACGCCTTCTTTGATATTTCTATAAATTGTTTTGTAGGCCCGCGCGAATCCTACTTCTGAACTGTTATAAAGGCGTAAGGATGCGAGTTATCATATATTTTAACAATGATTATTTATTAAATTATAGTATAGATATTAAATGCAAATTCACATTAATTAGAAATAGAACTGAACAGGTCAACCGTCGTGCGCTTGCACGTCCGAACTCTTTCGCTGTTAACACGCAACTTCCCTGTCTTTGACAGTAGTTACTAAAATATCGCAGTTTTCGTATTTCTGAAAATTACCGTTATATGGGAGGTAGGCTTGGTTATTGTCCGATTTTTAAAATTTTCGGTCATTTAGTATGGCGTATCAAGGCCAAGAACTGTGCCAAGTGTGGAAGAAATTGCTGCAGCGGTTACCAAGATAAACACATGTAACCATAAGTGGGCGTGGCTATGCCCATTTTCCAAAAATTTATAATATTCATGTTTTCCGTCTGAAACTCATTGTAAATATAAATTTTGAGTGAATTATCTTCAGTAGTTACTAAAATATAGCAGGTTTCGTATTTCTGAAAATTACCGTTATATGGGAGGTAGGCGTGGTTATTGTCTGATTTCGCCCATTTTCAATACCAACCGTCCTACGCACAAAAGAAGTTCACGTACCAAGTTTCGTTAAGATATCTTAATTTTTGCTCGAGTTATCGTGTACACAGACGGACGAACGGACGGACGGACAGACAGTCACCGCTTAGTCGATTTCTCTTTTCATTGTGATCATGTATACATTTGTCTATATCTATCTCGATTCGTTTTGCCTGTTAAAAGCAACCGTTATATGAACAAAGTTATAATACCCTTGTGCACAAGTGCGCTCGGGTATAAAAACAAATATTTTTAAATCAAGTTTTCTAAACATGAACGAAATTGGACCATAAATACTGGTTTACCAAATATATAGAAAATAAAATTTGGTGTGGAGTTATTCCTTTTCATGTAGTTAATATACGTTCTAAATATGAACGAAATGGGACCGCAAATACTGGCTTACCAAATATCTCGACTCCTGTGCCACCTATCGGCTTAACTTATCTTTCGTGTTGCATTGTCAACGGGTTCTGAATCAACTGTGAAGTTTCACGTCTCTAGGTCATCGGTTGATCATAAATTGATTGCAAGATTTGCCGCCAACAAAGATGCATACATACAGATCAAGTTAAATAAAAGCTTGGTGTATCTCTCCATTTGGCAGGAAATATTTTTAATTTATTAAAAACTATTGGGAACTACCGCATCGCTGCTAGCACTGACGCACAAATGGACAAATGCACAAATATGCAAGAATTGGTCGTAATTTGTTAAAACTTTACTCATACGCGCTACCATTCCGTAGGGTGCGCTACAGAGCGCGGGTTCAAGCCCGATTCAACTTAACATCAAACAATTAATAAACAAGTAAGAAAGTCTAAGTTCGGGCGGAGCCGAACATTAAATACCCGGCGCAAGTATTAAATATATGTTTTCCTCCTTTCCGAAAGCTACCGCTACATGATAAGCCGGGGTGTATACATTTTAAGTAAATTAGCGTCCTTAAATTTCGAAATATTGAAATTTCAAGCATTTCTGAAATTTACCGTTATATGAAGAGCGGCCTCAATTTTAGTCCGATTTCAACAATTTTCAACGGTTTGCTTTTATGTAGCAAGCACAATAACCATACCGAGCTTGGTACAAATTGCTAGAACGGTTAGCGAGATACATATATGTGATCATAAGTGGGCGGTGCTACGCCCATTTTCCAAAATTTTGTCATAAGCGTATTTCTTGGTAAAGAATTGTTGCAACCATCAATTTTGAATAAATTAGCTTCAATATTTACTGATTTATCGAAGATTTTGTATTTCTCGAAATTACCGTTATATGGGATGTGGGAGTGGTTAATGTCCGATTTTAGAAATTTTCGGCCATTTGATATGCTGTACCAGCACCAACAACTGTGCCAAGTTTGGAAGAAATTGGTGTAGCGGTTACCAAGATATACACATGTAACCATAAGTGGGCGTGGCTACGCCCATTTGCTAAAATTTTGTAATATTCTTATTTTTCGTCTAAAACTCATTGCTAATATCAATTTTGAGTGAATTATCTTCAGTAGTTACTAAAATATCGCAGTTTTCGTTTTTCTGAAAATTACCGTTATATGGGAGGTAGGCGTGGTTATTGTCTGATTTTTAAAATTTTCAGCCATTTAGTATGCTGTACTAAGACCAACAACTGTACGAAGTTTGGAAGACATTGGTGTAGCGGTTACCAAGATATACACATGTAACCATAAGTGGGCGTGGCTACGCCCATTTTCCAAAAATGTATAATATTCATGTTTTCCGTCTGAAACTCATTGTAAGTATCAATTTTGAGTGAATTATCTTCAGTTGTTACTAAAATATCGCAGTTTTCGTATTTATTAAAATTACCGTTATATGGGAGGTAGGCGTGGTTATTGTCGATTTCGCCCATTTTCAATACCATCCGTCCTACGCCCAAAAGAAGTTCACGTACCAAGTTTCGTTAAGATATCTCAATTTTTACTCGAGTTATCGTGTGCACAGACGGACGGACGGACGGACGGACGGACAGACAGTCACCGATTAATCGATTTCTCTTTTCATTCTGATCATTTATGTATACATTTGTCTATATCTATCTCGATTCGTTTTGCCTGTTACAAACAACCGTTATGCGAACAAAGTTATAATACCCTTGTGCACAAGTGCGCTCGGGTATAAAAAAAAGTTTTATGTAATAGCGGTCGCCTCGGGTCCCTCCCCACCCACACACACATCGGCGCACGCAACAAATCGGAGGAGCAGCTCGGCCAAATACTAAGATATGTGTAAGCGCCAAACTGTAATTATTATTATTGCTCCTACAAGGATTTCTTCATGATTATTTCAAAAATGAAATCGTTTCTTTGTACCGGCTACCAATATCGAAAAACCCGGGTTTAAGACCGGTTACCAATTTTAAAGAAATTGGAGCGATCACGCCCGTTTATTTTATTACGGTTATTTAAAAAATTAATCCGCTTTTTTGTACCGGTCACCACCAAATTCCGACTAATTCTTGCATATTTCTACATTTATCTATTTGTGCGTCAGTGTTAGTAGCAGTGATGCGGTAATTCTCAATAGTTTATTATTAATTAAAAATATTTCCTGTCAAAGGGAATATTTTCTTATTTTGAGTAAAAAGACAGCCACGGAATCTAGTTAGAAAAATCCTCCATCCCAGTCCTTGGAACTTATTAACCTTTCTTCTCCATGCCCTCAGGCATTGGAGCCTCCGCTATCTAAAGCCATATCCACCAGGTCTACATTTAAAAAATAGTCAAACCGTTGATTTAACAGTGTTGCCATCAACATCTGAAGTTGCACTGTCTAACTCAGTTCCTCCGAATAATTCGGAGCCCCGCACATCAGACATCATTAACAAAAAGTTAGTTGTAATTCCTCCGAGAAGATCAATCTTTGTCTCTAGATTTGTTAAAGATACTTTTTCGGATGATATAAAGTCATACATATCGACTAAAATTAAAACTAAAGATGTATTTATTCGTAAATTTTATTTTAAATACGATCGCGATATTTCATCTTTTAAAATTGGTGTAGCTTCCGAAGATTTTGTTTCAGTACTAAATAGTTCATTATGGCAGACCGGGGCGTTTGTTCGCGAGTTTGAGTATAAACATAATAAAAGTAATAACAACGTAGCTAAAATTTCTAATCTTTATTCAGACTCAAAAAACTAACTCGCAAGTCTAATTTAAGTATTTACTATCAAAACGTTAGAGGTTTCAATACCAAATTAACTGACGTATATTTAAAAGGTTTTGACTGCAATTATAATATAATTTCCTTGACCGAAATATGGCTCAAACATCATATTTTTAATTCCGAAATTCTTCCAAATGAATATCAAATATACAGGAGTGACCGCGAGGGCAGAATCGGCGGTGGTGTTCTCTTTGCATTGCATTCATCGATACCATCCGAGGAAGTTAGTGTTCTTGTCATTGAATATACCGAATTTAAATGTATACGTGTACAGGCTGGAAAGATTTATATTTATTTAGCTCTTTGCTACATCCCTCCTAATTCTTCCGTACCAGTATATATGCAGCTAGTTTCTTTACTTGAGACCGTAAATGCAATGCTTACGGCATCCGATTCTATGATTGTTGTGGGCGATTTAAACCTGCCACACATTTCATGGAACATCATTGACACCGATGTTGTACCAGTTTCATCTAGAGAT